TTTAGAGACTGAGTGCCCAAACTGAAACCCAAAACCCACTTATGTATCATTGGGTGCTGGGTGTGGCTGCGGTGGTAACAGCAGACTGGGTGGGACTAAAAATTTCAATCAATCAATTCCAACTTTGCGAGATCTTTTTTTTTCCTGTGAGAAGCTGAAATTGATTGATTGAACCTTTTTGTTTTCCACATGGCGGCAGAGGACTAAAGCGAAAAGTTTTAGGACCTAGAGCAGTGGTGGCGAACCTATAGCACGCGTGCCAGAGGCAGCACGCAGAGCCCTCTCTGTTGGCATGCGCCATTGCCCAAGCACATGTGGTCTCTAAAAGTTCGCCATCACTGGCCTAAGGCCAGCCAGCCTGGAGCTGCCATTGGGGAGCCCACCATCCCACCCACCAGACCCCTTGGATCTCTCCCAATCCTGCCCGGCTCCCACAGGTGTCCCTCCTCATAAGCAACATCAAGGTGGCTACGCCCACCCTGGCTATGCCCACCCAATCTGCCATGACTACTGCAGCCACACCCATCCAGTGGCCACGCCCATCCAGTCTGCCAAGCCGACTGTAGCTGAGCCCGCCGAGTGGGCCATACCCACCCGGCACCTGGCGATACATAAGTGGTTTTGGGTTGCAGTTTGGGCACTTGGTTTCTAAAAGGTTTGCCATCACTGACCTAGAGGAACACTATTAAACACTTCTTCAAATGCTTATGTATAAGAATATGCAGTTTTTATTTTATTTTTTTGTCTTCTTCATTATCAGTATGAATGATAACGAATCAATGTTATCCTAGACATAAAAATGCAACTTTTGGGCAATTTATTGGACTAGTGTGTAGGGAAATTAAATAGTCTCCTAATAGCTGGTAGTAAAGGGATGATACTAAAATAGGACAAAAAGATATTGCTACAAGGCATAGTGCAAATTCTTCTTTTTGCATCATACTATGCTTTCTGCATTCTCTTTACCAAAGGAGTAAAAGTGATCCATTTAACAACGGGGTATAAAATTTTCCTGATTCCTTCTTTGCTAAAACTCTTTGTTCTTCAATATTTCTACATTGTTAATATGATGGTAAATATAAACAACTGAATAAATAAAACAATATGAACATTTCATTGTAACTTAATGTATAATTCTGAACATTAAAGGAAAATAAAATTAAATATTTTAAATAACAAAATATAAAGTATATAATTATGGGAAAATATCCCTAAATCCCAGCTTACAAGACTTCTAAGTGATATACATTTATGGATGATAGTTCTGACACTGTTCTGACTATTTTGGAGATCTTTCAAGCTTTAAATAATTCTGTAACACAGAGATAAAGCAGGTGTACAAATTGAAACATATTTTTCACATATAAAATTGATTTTTTTGTAATAAAAGCAGCACTTGATAAAATAGCCAAGTTCTCCCCCATGTTATTTTCATACACTAATCAAGCTTTGATACTTGAAGTAGGCTGGTCTGGAAAGAAAAATGTCTGATGATAAACATGAGTGGGAAAGATATAAAACTGTCCTTACTGTCTCATACTTTGTTATACTTTGTAATTTAATATAAATAATAATAATAATCCACTGCATTGGAGTAAATAATTTAGGTATGACATTACCAAACCTATTTGCCCTTCTCCAGGGGCTTTTAGAGGAATTCAGCCTATCTGACCTGACCTAATGTACACTGCCCAGACTAAATATGATCTAAACATAGTTATACTGTGAATCATATATTTCTCCAAATTAGTTGTTCAAAGAAAATATGTATTGAATAGTTCAAATATCATGAGATGTCAATCTTTAGCTGCATTTTACTCTAGGCTATTTAGCATGATATAGACATGATGTGAAAGTCTCCGTCTAAATGCTGTAATTAAGGTTAATGCATTTCTTTAATGAGGTTGTTGTCTAGTAAGCTAGAATAGAATTGCAGCTGCCATTTGCAATCCACATGCTTCAGTGTCATCTGCAGAAGTGGATTCCTAATAACTAGCTCTAGGGCTTTCCTCTTTATTCTTGCCATCTTAATGGAAAACCCTGAGTAAAAGAGATGAGAAGAACTCTGTCTGTTCGTCTGAAAACTGAATGTAATGGGACCAAATTTGGTAAGGTGAGAGAAGCTGCCAAAAGAAACACATCAAAGTAAAATGGGAACCAAATCTGGTCCTGCAGAGTAAAACATTGTAGAAAAAAATAATCCCCTAATGTCTCCTTATGAGAGAAGCAGTTGGGGAGTGACTTGGAATGCTGCTGGTTAGTTCATATTAAGTCCCCCTCTCTCCTCCCCTCTGTTCATGTAACCCAGAGCAGAACATACAGTGTATGGCTGGCTCTCTGTTTCCCTGTACACAGAGCACACATACAGTTGCAACAGAGGGAAGCAGATTCACACAGCACACATGGACTAATACATTAATTCATTACATAGAAGAGGTAGAGAAACTGCCTTTGGCAACTGCTAAAAAAGTTTTTGGGAGGAATTCAAGGAGTCAAGCTCTGAATGCTTTCTCTACTTTTCTCTTTCCAATCCAAAGGAATGTTGTAAAGAAAGAAATTATTAAGGGAGCTTCACATTACCTCCTTCAGACTGATTATCCATCTGTCCATCATCAGGATAACTCTCTGAAAACAGGACAGAATGGAAGAAGATCAAATATATCTGTCTGATTTGGTCCAGATACTAGGCATGGTACAGATTCCATCAGCCAAAATGTCAGCTGGCAGAGACAGGAAGATGAGCTTTTTCTGCTGTAATGCCTGTGGAATGCTGTATTTTCTCTTCAGAGATTAGAATGGCTCCAACCTGATGGCCTTTAATAAGGCTTAACAAAGTTGACTGTGTACTG